GCTGTTGTGAAGGGCTTTCTGTTCACCATGGAGATTATTCTGCCATCATCCACCACTGTGGTCTTCTGTGGACACCCAGGTCTTTTTACATTGATCAGTTCAGCAGTGCTTTCTTTCTTTCTCAGGATGAACCAAACTGTAGGTTTTACCACTCCTAATATTGTAACAGTTTCTCAGATGTTTTTTCTGTTTTCACAGCTTAAGGATGTCTTGTTTCACCTGCATGGAGAGCTCCTTTGACCTCATGTTTACTTCACAGTAAAACTTTCCAAATACAAGCAGCACACCTCAGATCAACTCCAGACCTTTATCTGCTTCATTGAGAATGACATAATGAAGGGATTGACCACAACTGTCCATGAAATAGACTTGGAGTCAATTGTCCAATTACTTTTGGTCCCTTTAAAAACAGGGAGGCACATGTTAAGGAGCTGAAACTCCTAAAGCCTTCWTCCAGTTTTAATGTGGAMACRCTCAAATGAAAGCTGAATGTCTGGACTTTATGTACATGTATATTAAATTCATTCACAACACAATTATMTTTCATCAGAATGCAGGATGGTTTGTCTAAKGGTTTCTGGTCACCTGGTASGGAGAACACTCAATCGATGTGACAGATCCTTCCTCGGGGAGTGGTCAGACATGGAAGAAWGTGTTTATAGGTGACTAAACTACTTTGTTCATGGCCATTCTGCAGAATAAAGTCTGTGAATGGTCCCAGTGCTGATGTTTGTATGGCTTTATTTCTTACAAATCTAAATCCTGTATTTGCTTCCTTATCCTCAACACATAGAGTAAATGAACATGCAATATTTTCAGACATTTAACTTACTAAATGTTCAACAAACAAGAAGCTAATCTGACAAAAGAGGGATTTTGGAAACTTTCAATGTTTTCATTTATTGGAACTCTGGCTGAGAATCATCACTTACTGGGTTTCAGAGTAGTGAAGCAGAAAATGTTGGAGGACCAAAGGAGGTTTGCAGCAACAGAATGATGCGACAGCAGCTAGGCATCAATTCTATCAGCGCTGAGCCAAAACAGATGACTCAAACTGCAGACATTACAGCTAATGATTCACTCACTTCATGGACTTTTCACATGAGAGCTGGAGTTAAAAATACAAGTGATCAGAAGGAAAATGTGTGTGAAAAATAAATGTCACTATGTTTACATGTGTGTGGTGCACATGAGATATCAAATTTACCAACAATGCCTTTTATTGCTACTTCATAAGAAACTACACAATTAATAGAACAATGAAATAGGGCTACTTTGGAAGAAAAAAATGAGGTGGAAGATTTCTACTGTTTCAAAGTTTTCAGATTACCGTATTTATTCATTTATAATACGATCTCATGTATAATATTATCTTATATAT